GTAGAGATTAGAAAGTTCTAAGCTTTTGTGTAGAAAAAGTTTGTCATGTGGTTGTTGTATTGATTTCTTTCGTAGATCCACAGTGCGTGAACCACTCATATTGACTGGTTAATCTTGTTCATGTAGTGTTACATTTGGATTTTGTCTATAATTTTTATCAGCTGTTAGATTTAGTTGGTAGATTTTGAAATAGGTAGCAATGGAATTCAAACGTAGATAAATCCACCTAATCTGTTTGTCTATAGTTTCATACTAGGACGAAGACGCCGTCTAGTGCTTCCAGGCTTTTAATGATGGTCTAAAATGGATCGACTCATGATTTCAAAGTCGACCATCTCCATAACTGTATAATCACAATTAAATATAATTATCGGTACAAAGAAGCAACAAAATATATATATATGCGCCACAAATTATTGACTTAAATTGGGGTACTACCCGCCTGTACAAACTGGAGGTGGTTTTCTTTGCGAGTCACTTTCCGAGCCTTTAACATGTAGGTTCAATCCAGAAGGCAGTAGGGCAACGCTGGAGATTCAGTCCCATTTCAGCCGGTGACCAACAAGAGGCATACAGGTCATTTTTTCCCCAGGATTCTAGAGCCTATGTACACCCTTGCTGTGGAATGAGGGTTTTTCAACTCCCCTATAAATCGTCCATACCCGCGATGGGAAGTACTTACCAGCAGATGAAATTCTAATCTAAATCGTAGACTCTCGATCACAGTTTTAGCTTGGCGAAAGTCTGAAAAAGTAAGCTATTTGGCTTAATAAACTTTATCTTTTTCGAACATGGACGGAAGACTGGAAACTGAGTAAATGAATTTGACAAACCTGAAAGGGTTTCGTTTTATCTATCACACCTACTATTTGTGGTGACGATTTAAGTAGACTTTGTGATATGGTTGGTGCTACTCACAAAGTGGCATGTAAGTAGTTTGTAGTATCGCGTTGGCTAGAGATGGCTACTAAAAATCAAATGCATAGCTTGATCAATGTTGCTTGAAAGGGATAAGACATGTAGGGAAAGGCAGTCAACAACCTACTTGTTTTGCAAATGGATGTTTCAAGACAAGGTGTACATACTTCTTTGGTAAACCCTTCTTTAAATAAATATATTCCGTTTGATCTGGACTTCTTCGATCTTCACAGTGTTATATACAAATCTATATATATATTCGTTCGTGTGACTTATTACCGGTTATTGATATCCGAAGTTCACTTGGTGTCAAGGACACCGAATATTTATCAAGTTCCTAGTATAAAATGCAAGCTGTAATAGCATTTAACTAATGAATAACTCCATCTATAAGCATTTACGACTTGATTACTTTATTATTTAATCCCAAAAATTCACAGCTATTGGTATATATTTATATTAGGACTGATATAAAAGATTAGTGACTACTTTGTATCATTAAAGTATTATTTAATTAATATTTCCTAATTTTCACTTTATTTGATGACTAAATAATTTGAAGTCTAATTGTAATGCTGGGATTCTTATCCTCACAACATTCACTAGATTAAATTTTCAAATCGAAACTTTCCAGTTCTGATAATCTTCTAACTATGCACAATATAATGCTTTCCAATAATATGTAATAGAATAGTATACGGTGATGTTTTATTTTAGGCTGTTGCTGGAATAGTTCAAGCATCTGGTTGGCCGGCAGTTGTAGCTTGTATGGGGAATTGGTTTGGTAAAAATAAGTAAGCAATTTTTCCAATTGGTATGATGCTTTTTGGATGATAAATATAATTTAGTTTTACTGTTTTTTTTACTGCCTATTTTTCAAAGTTTATGTAATTCTGCATCACAAAAGTGTCCTAATATTTTTTTTTGTCGTTCACACTTCTATATTTAGAAAATGCATTCACTTTCTAAATTGGTCCACCAGAGTTCTTGGTACTGACATGATTACACCTCAGTAATAAGCTGTGTTGTTCATGTTGTAAAGAGTTGGGATGGTGACTAGTTCTCCTCAAATGCCCTAGTACGGCCGATAATATGGAAAGTCCGCTCTCCCTTTCAAAATGCTCTCATACGGAAACGCGTGCATAACCATTGCCAGGGAAGTACTAATCATTGCACTCTCATAACTAGAGTATTGCTCGCAAAATTGAGAGAACAAAAGCTAGTGGCCGTTACTGACATCGGGTCGATTGGTGTGGAGGATTCACAAGCAAGAGTTGGAAAACCCTCATTCAAAAATAGTGGCGTATATGGGCTCCAGAATCCTGAGGGAAAAAATGACATGTACACCTGTTGTTGGTCATCGGCTATCATGAGACTGCATCTCTAGCGTCACCCTACTATCATGTGGATTAGACCTGTATGTCAAAAGCTCAGAAAGTGGCTCCCTACGAAAACCGCTTGCTTAGGTTAGTACAGCCGAGTAGTATTCTAGCCCCATATACTAACTAAATGATGGCTATAACTAGGATAATTATTCTCTCTTTAATCTTCGTTCTTGTCAACTATACTCGTAACTATACTCTCAACATTCTTTTTTCATTGAGTCAATTGCTTATTCCTATTTGTATTACTTATTTTTCATCTCATACTACAGTCCGTCTGTTGTGACGATTATGCTCCGTCTAAACGATCTCAAGTCGTTCACTGATCGAAAGTTGAATGTTACCACCGAATACGAATGCTAAACTAGTCTTCCTGAAACTAAATGCATCATTCAGATTAGCCTTCAATGCTAACACACTAATGCAAGTCGGACAATTGATAGGGTTGGCTATTTTTCTAGAAAATCCTAATGTCTCCATCTGTTGTCTATCAGCAACCCGTATTCAAGATTAGTGAAGTACCACACATTCGCTCTCCATCTATCTCTCCGGAAAGCTTCCTTTGCGTGCGTTTACTCGGGAACCCTACGGCGTCTTCATCTGGTTTTGCTTGGGTTGGTGTATCACTAAGTGCGAGAGCTGAGGTAGCGCCAATAGATTTGATCCGCGCTAACAGTAGATTGTGTGCTGTGTCCAGTTGATCAGTAGGAAAAAGTTATTTTCTATCCTTCATTCACATTCTTCTGAATTGAATTGCTGCTTTATCATAATACTCTATGTTTTGATTTCTACGTCTCATTTCATATGTACCATCACTATTTGTTTAGTGTGAAACTGTCGAGTAAATAATACTACTATTCAATGTAAATTATTTGGCAAAGCTGACTAACTGATGGTTGAGTTTTGTGGACTTTTATTGTTTGAGGTATTCGAGAAATGTTTTGACTAGGTGTGTAGTGAACGAGAACACAGGTGGGGCAACCGAATTGTATTTAGCGAAATTACAGAGTTACTCAGTAAAATTGGAAAACCATATCGTAAATTGTTCATTTGCAAAATATCAGTTCATCCTATCGAACTGGACTGTTCCTGTTGCCAAACATCAATCCATTGTCACTATTCATGCGTTTCATACAAATTCCATTGTGTTCTAACTCTTCCTTTCTTGATCTTTCCCCATCTCCCGCTGCCAGACATTACGTTGACACTCACGTCATATACTACTTATAAGTAGCTCACACCACAGGTGTTCTGTATTAACTGGTAAAACAGTAGTAGATTGGGAAAGATTTAACATCGGTATGCTGAAGACTTGACATCATTCTGTTTAGTTACTACCATTTAGAAGTTGTTTGGATGTTTTCTTTCTGATTCGTAGTGCAATGATGCATGAGTAATTTACTTTTTTTTTACTGTTTTAGATCTTTGGTGTAGCATCTCAACCATTCCACTTCTTATTTCAAAATATATTCTTCGTAGCGTTTTTGCTTGATTCTGTTAATATTACTATTGTCACTTCTATCGGTACCAGTGTTTTTAGTACTTTTTTCCGCTTGTTGATTGATTGATTGATTGATTAGAACAACACATATGGGAATCAAAATGAAAATCTTTTGATTGATTGATTGGTGAGGAGTGTTGCGGATTAACCTGATATATATATATATATATATATATATATATATATATATATATATATATATATGCTGGATCTTAGAGTATTTCTAACTGGGATCTGCAAAACAATTGGTATCATTTACTCTATTTATTTTTAATTTAATTTTCAGACGAGGATTTTTTATGGGAGTTTGGACAGCAAATGGTAGTATTGGGAATATTTTAGGCTCTTTAGTTGCTGGTGCTTTTGTAGAAACAGCTTGGGGATGGTCATTTGTTGTGCCAGGATTAATAATTGGATTTCTTAGCTTGCCAATTTATCTGTTTCTTGTACCTTGTGAGTCTGTTTGTTTTGTTTTGTTTGTTTTTTTCGATTTTTGATGTAAACTTACGTGTAATTTGTTCCCATTGTTTATACCCCTTGCTTATGCATTTCGCGTATACACTGATACAATACTAACTTGAAATTTAACATAGTTAGTGGACGCAAGAATGACCAGAATGAGTTAATTCAATAGCACAATTTTCGACTATGCCTAAGACAAAGTCAGTCTGACCTGAGGCTGTGCAAAAATGCCACTCTTGATGTATAAGATTTCCTTTACAGTCAGTCAGTCAGTCAGTTGCAATGTAGTATGTACGTATGTACATAAGTTCATGTTGCCATACCACATTAGCACAGAGACGCAAATGTCAAATCAAATCCCATAGTGATAAAGATAGTAGAGGTATTAATGGTAATGAAGAAGACTAGGGTTTGAAGATATTATTCAAGAAGTATAATTCAGTGAGATAAGGTTAGAAAGACAAAGGTAGAGGTGCTGACGATTCCAGAAGATTAGGATTTGAGAGGGCTCAAAGAATGGATGCACTTGCGCCATTGCAAACGATTTTGAGCCATCTCGCTCAAGGTCTCTAACCATTGGTGACTTTCGTCTCGCGGACCCCAATCAGGTAGTCTACATCTACCAACATGACTCAGTCCACTTGTCAGTGATTTCATAGATTTCTGCCATGTTTTGGTCTGGCCGCCCCTAACTTTCTTCCAACTTATTCCAACACCACAAAACATAGCTCGTCGAGTCAGTTGCGGTGGTTAGCCATACGTAACACATGTCCCAACCACCTCAACTGATGAAGTTTCACCACTTCATCTATTGATCTGCCATCGTTACCTAGTACTCGTTTCCTAACGACAGCATTGCTTACTCGGTTGTCCCACGATATACGAGCAATGCTTCGGATACACCTATGATCGAATACTAGTAACCTACGAAAGTCCTCTACTCTTAACGGCCATGTTTCGCATCCGTATGGTAGGACAGAGCGAACTGCTGCGCAGTACACTCAACCTTTGGTTAACAAGCGGATATCTCGCCTGCGCCATAATTGACGCACGTTGGCAAAAGCCAATAGGGCCTTCTGTATCCGTGCTGAGATTTCGTCAGTCACAAAGCCATCGGCACTGATGAGACTCCCTAGATAAGTGAAGTGATCAACACGCTCAACTACTTCACTCCCTATCACTAGTTTAGGTGCCGATGCAACCCAGTCTTGAAGCAACATTTTGCATTTCGAGGGGGAAAACCGCATCCCGAACATGCTTGCATTGTTGCTTATGGTAGTCAGAAGACTCTGCATTTTGTCAGCGCCTTCCTTTACAATGATTACTCATTACATTAAAATATGAATTTGACTACATTCATTGTAAATCATCTGTCTATCAAGTAGCATTGTATTACATTTTTTTTTAAAAAATGAATCATAAATCATTTTATAACCAACCATTGTGTAATCGTTTATTGAAAAGTAGGTCAAGCTGGTCCTCATTTTTTTAAAATTATAATTCCATCCTGATCACAACAGTATTGATTAAACGAATTTGTCAAAGTTCAACTGTCGGCAGGGGGAGGGTGGCTGCTAAACAGAATCAGTAATCTTACTCTCATGATCACTTGGCACTTACATATGTTTATTGTTTTTCGCTTCGTAAATAGTTGTTAATTTTTTGAAGTCTCATCATTGTTCAGGCATAAATTATATACATACTAGCACCTTTGTAATGCTGTTGTTAAATGGCTTCGTAGCTAATCGCTTTTCAGCTTACAATTGACTGCGTAGATGAACTGTAAGCAACTATCAGATTGGTGTGATTTATTCTAATTTTGATAATTCCGTTAGTCAGTCTGGATCATAAATAAAACTGAATTAAGTTATCATGGTTTTTATGTTTGAAAACTGTGCATCTAGCAGATATGAGAAGCATATCACTGGTGGTGACTAATGGTTTCATTTACTTTTTAGAATTTAATTTAAAAAAAATCCATTTCATTTGGTTAAGAATACTTCTTAAAAAGGGCACGGATAGTGTATACGCACTAGTGTTTATTCAAGTTATGGATTTAGGGACCCCTTTATAAACGATATCAGACTTTACTTAATAGTCCATCTACTCAGATAATCACAGGTGTTCGTGAGACATAAATTGGATCAAAGCATGATTGCGTTGTTGCACGCTGACTGGCTCTTTCGTACCCAATCAACGCTAGTCGATACTGATGGAACATTCTAGAATCTTCTCATGTGAAAGCTATAAGTAAACTAATGTTTTGAACTTCTCTGTCTTCCATCTAACCTTGTTATTGGAATATAATCTATTGCCTGTTCAACCGTGTTCTGATTTGGGAGAACGTGTCGAGTGAATTGGTGTCCGAGAATACTAAGCATTAGAAATAGCTGGGTTGTAATTATAGAGAATTATAACATTGGCGACGGGGATGGGATATTACAAGACGCTGATAAATCCCCAGAATTCGAACAGGCTGTAATTCCTGAGTTCGTAGGCATACTATTCATCATATTTGTAAGAGCATTACAACCATCAGTATTAGATCAATCATTTCTTTCAGAAGCCACTGCTGCTAAGGCTGCAGCGGCAGCTGTCGCAGCCGCATTTGTGGTTGTAGTTGAGTTGGCCCCATTACCTTCACCCATTCCGTAAGATAAATGTGACAAAAGTGTTTTATAGTAAGTATCTGCTGAATTGTTGATACTATATATATTCTGGGGCGTATTCGACATATTTCGCGTGGACAGATTTCGCACGTTGTATACTTATAGTTTTCACATGAGAAGATTCTAGAATGTTCCCTCAGCATCGATTAGCGCTGATTGGATAAGAAAAAGCCAATCAGCTTTCAACAGCACCAATCATGCTTTAATCCAATTTATGTCCCGCTAACGAAAAATCCTTTGATACTAATTAGTAAACTAAAGAGAAAGTATCTTGTTCGTGGATAATTCTAATGCAATTTATTCCATTTTTACTCATACAGTCTTCTTCAAATGCTGGCATTCATTGTTTCAATGAATAGTTTTTTTTAATATTGTTAATAGTAATTTAAATGACATTTTTTAACAAACTAACAAATTGCTTCTATGGCGGAATTCAGATAAATAAAATCAATATAAATTTGATAGTTTAGGAATGGATGTACTAACTGATATTAAAGTTAGTTATGAAAAATAACTGTGATATTCACATAAGGTTAATAATATATTTGAAATTAAATGACACTTAGCTTATGGCGCTAATCATAACCAACTTGGTTTGTGTGGCTGTAATCCGATTACCAAATTTAGGTCTCAGTATTATCTCAAATAAGACCAATTAATTTTCTCAATTTCATGTTATCAATCGAAATGTAAAATGTTGCTTCAAAAATGGGTTGCATCGGCACCTGAACTATTGATAGGGAGTGAAGTAGTCGAGTGTGTCTATGGCTTCACATATCTGGGGAGTTTCATCAGCGCTGATGGTCTAGTGACTGACGAAATCTCAGCACGGATACAGAAGGCTCGATTGGCTTTTTCCAACCTGCGTCACTTATGGCGTAGGCGAGATATCCGTTTGCTGATTAAAGAAAGAGTTTATTGCGCAGTAGTTCGCTCCGTCCTACTTTATGGCTGTGAAACATGGCCAGTGAGAGTAGAAGATATTCGTAGATTGCTTGTTTTCCATTATGAGTGTTTCCGAAGCATTGCTCGTGTATCATGGGACAACTGAGTAAGCAATGCTGTCGTTAGGAAACGGGTGCTAGGCAAGGATGGCAGATCAATAGATGAATTGGTGAAACTTCATCAGTTGAGGTGGTTGGGACATGTGTTACGTATGCCTAACCACCAACTGCCGCGACGAGCTATGTTTTGTGGTGTAGGAGTAGGTTGGAAGAAAGTTAGGGGCGGCCAGACCAAAACATGGCAGAAATCTATGAAATCACTGACAAGTGGACTGAATCATGTTCGTAGATGTTGACTACCTGGTTGGGATCCGCAAAATGATAATAATAAGCGATGGTTAGAGACCTTGAATGACATGGCTCAAAATCGTTTGCAATGGAGCAGGTGCATTCATTCTTTGTGTTTTCTCAAATCCTAAACTTTTTAATTCTTCATCGTCTCTATGTTTCTCTTCCTAAAGTTGTCTCACTGAACTATACTTCTTGAATAATATCTTCAAATCCTAATCTTCTCCATTACCATTTTAGCTTTAAGCATAAATAATATTCAATGCGTGTTTAGTTGTATGTCAATAATCATTGTGTGTTATTTATATAGCTATTTATTTTTAAGTATAAGTTATTTATTTGTAATGTAACGATTCAATAAAACAGATCATATGTCATTGAACAAACAGGATCGTTTTACATTCCATTTGTTCGTTTAGAATTCATCTTTCGATATTGAATTATAAGTTTTTTAGTAGAGCACAAAATTCTGCATTCATTTTTACGCAACTCTATTCAGAATATCACATATTTTTGGGGAATTAGTTTCTTGTCTGTTTTTTTTTGTGATATATCTATCTCTATAGTACGATAATAAAACTGATGACCTAGTTTATACTAACTAGCACTAGACTGGATACTGAGTTGACATTCTATACACAGACAAAATCACATTATGCCTGATTTACTACCAAAAATAGAGAACCAGAGTAAACACTGGACAATATTTTATTTTAAAAGAAATATCACAGGTACTCACTTACAGTGAATTCAGAGTAAAAATCAGTAATAGGCGGGGGGGGGGGAGCGGGGAGAAAATCAAATATTTCATGACCAGTAAGTTAAGGAGCTGCACTCTGTTTTTTTAGTGCGTTAGTTTTCTACTGGATGGCGTCGCTAACCCCTAACCCAACCCTCTTCCTTTATCCGGGCTTGGGACCGGCGGTAGCCTCAGAAGGGTTCCAAGTGGAGTTGCTACACTATGTGTGTAGTCACATTTACTTTCACTTGACCACATAAATGTACCAGGTATAAATTGGTGTATACTAGGGGTCTATGAGCTACATTATGTGACTTTTTGAAACTGAATTAAGAAGAGCGAAGGCTTTAACTGGTGGTGGTGATCTTAATCATGAAAGCCCACTTCTTGACATACTAGCCGATTTTCTTATCGAATACTATTTTAGAATTGAAATATTATCGTTATTGAGTAAAATACTTTGCAGGGTCGAAAAAAGAATCTTACAAGAATTCAATTATTGTTTTCTGCTTTCTACTATCTACGTAAGCTATCTAATCAAAATTCTGAAGCTATGAAGAACTAATTTACATACATCTAAATCAAAAAACATGATACAAACCGGAATATAACCAGAGTCCAGATAAATACACCTAAAGACTCAGCAGTCCTGTACAGAATCACTACAGCGGTAGCTTAATAAATCAATAGCAACGCAGAACTTGGTACGCAAGTACGTACGTACATCAGTGATCAAGTTGCCGTACTACGGATTAGCACATAGACATGGAATTGTCAATTGAAATCCCATAGTCAGTCAGTCAGTCAGATGCAACGTAGAACTTCGTACAGAGATGTAATTGTCAATTCAAACCCAATAGTAGAAGAGGTGGTAAAGGTATTAGAAGTAATCGGAGAGGTTAGAATTAAAAGATATTATTCAAGATTTTTATGATTTAATGAGAAAAGTTTAGAAAGTCAAAACTAGAGTTGTTGAAGAACCCAGAAGATTAGGATTTGAGAGATTACAAAGAATAAATGCACCGGCGCCATTTCGAACGATTTTGAGCCATGTCATTCAAGGTGTTTAACCATCGAATATTATCATCTCGCGGACCACAACCAGGTAGTCGACAATTACCGACATGGCTAAGTCCACTCGTCAATGACTTCATGGATTTCTGCAATGTTTTGGTCTAGCCGCCCCTAACGTTCTTCCAACCTAAAATCCCATAGTAATGGAGATAGTAAAGGTATTAGCAGTAGTCGGCGAGATTGAGGTTAGGAGATATTATTCAAGAAGTACCTACAGCGGTAGCTCATCACAACGTGGTCAATTTGAGTCTAGGCTTGCAATACAAAAGGAGGACACCGGGTAACACATCGGAAATGACTATGTCTATAGTAAATGCGAACCAGAAACAAGTTGTATTCTGCCCAAAGCCACAGGAAACAGTAGCCCCTATCTAACCTACAACGAATAAATCTCCAATGATCTGTTCATTTCTCTCTAATATCTCATTAAAAGTGAATTTCATCAAAAGACATATATATATATATATATATATATATATATGCATGATAAACAGATTACATTTTCTTTTCTGTTTAGATCCTGAATCCGTTATAATTCAGTCTACCCACCCTAATGTACAAGTATGTTTCAAGTATTATTTTTATATTAAAAACAAAATTGATATTGTTTTGTTTGAATAAGATTTTGCAATACAATTTGTACTTTACCGTTTTTTATGATAATAATAATAATAAGAAGAATTAATTACAATAAATGTTTTTTTTGTAATTGTACATATTAAATTTTTTACAAATTATGAAAGAGCATATTTCTTAGTGTATGTGTATAATTTTTATCCTAATCTTAACTTAATTTACACAGTTTTATGATAAATCGTGTAAAGCTACTTACTGATAGTAGCGAATTATTCAAATTTAGGGTAATGTTTAAAGTTTCATTCAAAGTTGAATGAGTTATCACATTTATTCAAAATTATAAGGCATAATAATTAAGGAGATAGGTTATTCATATCGCAATAGACAAAATACAAGTAGACATGAAGTAATATATATATTGTTCAAGATTTAAATACAGATGAAAGACACAAATACATCTGTCTATCTTAGTGCTTTGAACTGATTTCTAACATATGAAGAATCTCTCTTCCCAATTGAATTTTGGCTTAAATTAACACTTAATCATTTTATTATTTAGTATGATTTATAGATTGAACCATGTTGGTAGAGATGTTGTAGACTACCTCCTGGTTGGGTGGGATTGGCGAGACAATATTGTAACCACCGATGGTTAGAGACTTTAAATGAGATGGCTCAAAGTGGATTGCAACGGTACGGGTGCATTGATTCTTTGTCTTCTCTTAGATTCTAATCATCTAAATTCACCATGTACATCATCTCTTCTCAAATTTATTTCACTGTACTATAGTATTTGAATAATTTCGTCGAACCCTTATCTTCTCCATTACAACTACTACTATGGGATTTGAACTGACAGTTGCGTCTCTGTGTTAATGTAGTATGGTGGCCTGAACTGATGTACGTACCTACATACGAAGTTTCTGCGTTGTAGCTGACTGACTGACTGATTACTTAGTTATAGACTAGAGAATCCTTATCAATGTCCCAGTTTGACTGTTCGTCGATCAGCGCTACCGGTTATAGGAGGTGTCCGGACTAATTTAATCAGTGTAAACTTATAATTCTATCAATTTAGCTACCGTTAATAAGTTTTTTTAATATATATATAATGGAATCAAAGTTACCTGAAAAAATATCTGTATATGTATATAAATAGATTTAGTTACTTACATATGTATTAGGTCGTTACATCGAGTAAATGTGCACTCATAATTACGTTTTTATTGAGGACATGTCCCACCAACCCATGTGATCACTGTTGAATTGATCTAACATAAGGACTTACTTAAGTGATAGATTTAATGATTTTAAATAGTGAAACTTCAATAGGAAAGAATTTTTGAGTTTATTCATCTCCATGTATGAAGAATAGTATGTGTAATGAGAATTTTAGTTCAAATAGATTATTACCATGCGTAAAAATGTATCGCCGCACCACAATAAATGAATTTCTTGCATAAGAAGTATATGGTGATAATTTTCTCAAAACTATTGAACTATCATATCAAAGTCAGTAATGGATACAATGTCCGAAAATGAGGCCTAACAGTCAGTCACAACGTAGAACTTCGTACGTGCGTACATCAGTTCAGGTTGCTATACTGCATTAGCACAGAGATGCCACTATCAGTTCGAATCCTATGGTGATGGAGAATATTAGGGATTAAAGATATTATTCAAGAAGTTATAATTCAATGAGATAACTTTAGAAAGAGAAAAGTAGAGATGACGAAGAGTTCAGAAGATTAGAATTTGAGAGAACACAAAGAACGAATGCATCTGCACCATTGCAAACGATTTTGAGCCATCTCGTTCAAGGAGAATCAGTGACCTACAAGTTAATTCCCTTTAATTGCCTATGTCATTTTATTGCGTCTTTTGTGTGTTCATATTCTACATATGATCATTTTATTTTTATCACTAAAAAATCTTTTCATCTAGTGAATGGTGTTGTATTTTGATTTGTAATTATTCAGAAGATTTAGTCCCTAATAATAATAATAATAATAATAATAATAATAATAATAATAATAATAATAATAATAATACCGTCTTTGTAGGTAGCCATCAATTGACCACATCAAATACATACCACTAAAGCTCATATACTAACTAGTAGTTAGTCGATATTTTCTGTTCGTGTTTAGTGTGAAGCAGAAATTAATTTTTATGAGCTGTTAACATAGCAGGATATGAATGGCAGGATCAAGACATGTCCAATGCAGGATTATGTTAGAGCACACAGATTAGCTCATTCATAGCCGGTCATTTCTCTAATGGACACCTGAAAAAGACTTGAGAATGTTTTATATTACTCAAATCCATTCGCATTCAATTTGGTTTGTTAAAATATAATGAACTATCTGTTCAATCTGTGTTCTGATTTTGGGAACTAGTTGAGCGTTGTACAATGCTCGAAGAATACCAAGTAATAAGATAGCTCGGCTGTATAAGTAATATCACAAGCAATACCAACAGGGATGCAAAGAGACCCATATGTTCACATCTGATGCAGATATGAAGGCATGGATCGGCAAAGCAAGGACAGAAATTCAACTACAATTGAACAACATACGGAACTTGAAACAATTATCAACCAACACCAAAGTCAGAATTTTCGATACAAATGCCAAGACAGTATTATTATATGGGACGGAAACCTGGGAAACTACCAAAGCCATCATCCAGAAGATGCAGGTGTTCATTCACTGTTGTCTATGCAAAATGCTTCGAATTCGCTAGCCAAACACTATCAGCAAAAATCTACTGTTGTAGAGAACAAACCAGATCCCAGCGGAGAAGGAAATCAGGAAGAAGCGCTGGAAGTGGATAAGCCACACAAGACAAGCCTTCACCTGGAATCCTGAAAACCAAGGAGCACATTACGCCAAGAAATAGAAAAAGACATGAGAAGAATGAACAACATTTTAGACAGAACTAGAAAGAGACGACCAGGACAGAGTAGGCTGAAGAATGCTGGTCAGCGTCGTAAGTAAGCCAATATGTTCTGAGCTCAGTTCTACAATTAGAGTTAAAAAAAACGCCCGGAAAAAGCAATAGAAACGATTGCTACTTCTTCTGAAGTCAAAATAATTATCTCGCTTTTTAATCTATGTCTTAGTGACTCTTCAAATAAGGATATTATTAATGATAATAACTATTTCCCGATCGATCACCACCGAAAATTCATCGAAAGCGACTAAATTAGCAAGTGGAACAAGAGTAACAATTTTCCATAATGCTTAGTTTAAATATGATTGAACAATTGACTGTGTTGTTGAATTGACTGAAAGTCAATCAGTCATTTTTATATTGTAATTTTAGGTTGGTTAAAAAGAGTGACATATTTAGGGTGTTGGTTGTCAAAAATATTGAATATTCAATGATCAATGGATCAATAGGTCATGTTGTCTGTAAATTTTATATTAGTGGTATTTAACCAAGTATAAATAAAATTCTGTTATCTATCTAGTAGTTGTACTATCATTTAATATATTCGTTCATTCCTTTAGTAAAATCAACAAAGTTTATGGCTTACTTAATAGTTGGGTTTTTTAATGGTCTGTCGTTCATTGACTACCTCGTTATTGATTCAGACAGTCGATTGTAGATAATCACCATCAGTGCTGATGATTTAGTGACTAGACCATCTAACTTTCATCCATCAGGTATAAAGGTTCAGACTGCACCGTGCCTGCTTCAGTTCAGGCGAGCATCAACGCACACATCACCTAAAGTTGAGGACGTTAGATCTCCAGAACTCACTTGATAAAGATCCTAATTTTGGATTTTATGTTTTCGCGCATGGACTGATCAGTTGACCTTGAAATTACATTTCCCACTGGAAAAATCCTTGGGTGTTATTAGTTGATGTATTATTTTAGTACACTATTTTTGTGGCTCTCCCAAGGACTTTTCTGTTGTGTGTAAATAAAATCGATTTGTGTACTTGTCAACCTCATTTTCTGAATGCCTGTGGAGTACACTTCCTACACCATATCAAGACTTTTTCTTCTACTTAGTGGAGCCTTGGGACACTCGGATTAGAGTAGCCTGTCGTGTCACTGGTCATTTGTCTTTGCTCTCGTCTACCGACTGAAGTGAACTCGTAATAGCATTCATGCATATCATATGCATTCATTAATTGAGTTAGGGTTAAATTTATAGCAACTTTTTTGTCAATTTAGTAAATTATACTTTCGTGTATCGTTTTTTTTTAAATAGTTTTATTTACATTTTTTCGGCAGTATGGTTCCATTAATGAACCAATCAGAGATGAAAATTCATTAGAAGTAAGTTCATTTGTCTTTTTTTATTGTACTAGAAAAAAAGATGAACCTCATCAATTAAGTGTACAATATGTTTAAACAGTCAAAAATATTAATATGTAGGTTAGCCAAAATCCAACATTAGAGAATTCTTATCATATTTTCTTTTTATAGCTATATCGTTACACATACATGATATCCAACATAATTGATCTGACATATTTCGTATTCAAATATAAAAAGGTTTACGGCTGCCTATTATTATTATTATTATTATTATTATTATTATTATTATTATTATTATTATTATTAGCTAAGCTAATTTATGTACATTAAGTTTTTGTTACAGGTTATACAAACGCGTCACATATATTTCTCTAGCTTATTGTTTACTCTCAGCAATAGCATTCAAACAAATCGGGAAACTACCACACACTCTTGAGGTTACAGAGCATCAACTAAACTATCTAGAATAAATGTTGTCTTGGGCTGTTTATCCAATTAAAGAGTCCATGTTAAGACGGTCTTGTCTTGGCTTTTCGGTTAAGGGTTTCCGTAAAGTCTGTCCCATACACACCTCCAGCATCTTTTCCCAATTTTCTCCTCAATTGACAGAAACTGGTTTGTTATTCCACAGAGTAAGTTATTGTTAGTGGTTCTCCCGCCCAACGGATCTGGAGTATCTTTTGTAGATAGTCACCCAAAAATAACTGTTCCCGTTTTTGCAGAGGTTGTGGTAGTTCTCC